AAGAGGTTAACACGATTTCACCGCCTGTGCTCACCTTTCAGCTCTTCATTTATCGGTTATTATTGATTCAAATAATGTCACCAAAACCTCATGAGATATTCCTATAAAAACTAATCCTATTCATTTGATGAATATGAGATCGACCTAGCTCTTTGTTATGACTGTTGGTGACTATGTAAAATTAATTCACCTGTTTTTTATCCTCTTGCCATTCACCTTTTATCCAACCTTCCTGTAGAGCATCCTTTTATGTTGGCGTTATATACCACAGATAGTGATACTTTCATGTGCATAGAGGTATACATGTTAACAAATACTGTGAGATTACAAAATACTTCAAATTTCAAAGTATACTACACAAATGGCCATGAGTGAACTAATCAAAGATATGATAGGACCTCATCATTCTTAGTGGAAGTTACTAGTCTGTATGTTGTTGTGAAGCTAATGAAATTAGTCGAAATTCAGCTCCTGAAAGAAAAATGAATATGCAGCGTGAAAAAAATACCTGGGAACGTACCGAAAAAACCGAAGTCGATAGCAAAGTATGCAACTGGTTGATACCAGCTAGTGAAAAAGATATTGAATGTTGAAAGCAACATTTCTGAACGACATTAAATAAAGTATAGGAAGTTTCTCCTGTCGTAACTAGCTAGTGACAAGATCGAAAGTCAAACTATGCCTGCGAAAGATCGGTATCTTCCTTCGTTCTCTTTAGATACTTCCATTAAATGATACCAGTTTGATGGTTACGTTTCCTTCGTCAACTTGAGATGGTCTGATAAGTAAAAGCCCGTTGGGTGACTTTATTTTCTACCATGATATTCTCATCCGTATTTCTAGTTCTTTTTCTACTTTCGTGTTGTCGAACCTAGAGACGGCACGGATGTGCAGATCTCAACAACAGTGTTGTCTACAGCATCATTTAGTTCGAGGGTCATAAAGCCAGTCAAACCAGAAGTCATGGATGAAGGAATTCGAGAATATCATTAGTAGACGAGTGATTTATGGGGAAATATAAGTTCTAGGTGCATTAATCGTTACGAAGGATGCATAACATGACATATATATTTATTATGGAGTTATATATATGCTTATTATGGAGATCTGTTCATAATTATAAACCTTTTTTGTGAATTATTGTAGCGGTATCATATCTAAAACATGACCAAATTTATTCGAATTCATGACGTTGGTTCCGGTAGTTGAAAAATGTCCTGAATAACATATCTCACTAAGGGAGCATCTCTGTTATTAAGATAGTAGCTTACTGGTGTAGGTTTTTTTTAGGGTTCCCATAGCCATATATCTGAAATACATTTAGGCATAACAATTAAACGACTTATGTCATCTTTTTGGCATTATTATAGTCATAAACGAAACGTTCCGACCAGAAGAAAACGGGCGCTTTCTTTGCTACACTAGGGCAAATTATACGCTACACGACACCCAACTAACTGAAGTGACAGAATCATGTTGGTGTTGTCTTCACACAAATGGCCTGAAATACTTGATTTACCGGCCCCGCCAGTACTAAGGCCCAGAACGATAAACTGATTGAGGCGAAACTGCAACTGCCACTCATGGGGCTCGATCAAATACAATTAGCAAGAGATTTCAATAACCCATCTTTAAATCTCATACATCGGAGTACAACTCCCACAGGTTCGTTCCAAAGAAAATTGGCGCAGCCATTAGAAGCTCTGGGCTTGCTGTACCACTGGATGGACTAGAGAGGGGAAGTCCTCAGACCTGGATTATTTGTTGACAAATGATCAACTACTGGACGAGGATAACTAAGTCTATACACCAATAGGAAGTATTGACCATGATATAGTCTTGTTTAACATGGTCATAAACGAAACGTTCCGACCAGAAGAAAACGGGCCCTTCCTTTGCTACACTAGGGCAAATTATATGCGAATGAGAGAGATACCTCTACATACCCCAAGGCTACCGGATAGGTGGAGGCTGACAGTAGATGATCACTGGTAAACAGTGAGAGACATCAGGCAAAACGCTGTCCTACAAAATGCACCTCAGTCACACCACACACTCGGAACTAAAGGAACATGGGTTAGGTGCGGCGTTACACGCGAAGAGCCTGGCACAAGCGGAAGGTCTTCTTGAAGGATTCCGATCGTAGTTCTTACTTGGTATTGAGAAACAGATGCAATATCAAAGTTCTAAGTGATAGGAGACGCTTTCAGATGAAGCTAGCTGCCAAAATACAGGCAAACCCTCAGCATCTGTTTAAGTTCATGACTAAAAGAAAACCTACGAATCAAGGTTTGTGTTATCTCAAAGGTCCGAATAGGGAAGACCTCACCAACCCAGCGATGGCTGAGATCTTCAAATTTCACCGATTGATTAAACCAGGCATCCGCATGTTCAGAATATTACCCAAACTCAGTGCCAGCTGACGGCTTACGGAAGATCCTCATTACTGATGATTTAATACTTAGGAAACTAAAATCCTTAGGCACAGGAAATTCACCAGGTTGTGACAATATTCGCCCCATAGTCTTGAAACAATGTGTAGAAGTCCGCTGTTCGCCGATATGTGACCTGTTCAGGCGTTCGCTGGAGGCTAACCAACTCTCAGCTGAATGGAAAAAAGCTGCTCTCCCCAATCTTCAAAGGAGGAGATAGGCAGGACCCAGCCTGTTACAGACAAATCACATTACTGCCAAGGTAATGGAAGGGCTGGTGAACGAACAGATGAGGGAGTACATTGATAAGAACAAAATAGTCCATGAAGCTCAATACGGGTTTCAGGAAGGCAGGTCGTGTGCATCTAATCTTCTCATAGCATGGGACAGTTGAGAATCCTGCTGGCACCGAAAATTATCGGTACAGGTAATATTTGTCGACTTTGCAAAAGCGTTCGATAAAGTACCCAACGCATGCCCAGTTGCAAAGGTTACGGAAATGGGCTTGACTGACCCACTCGTATTTTGGCTCAGAAACTACCTTGAGAACAGAAAGTTTCGTACCAAGGTAAATAGAGTGCACGCGAGTTAGCGAGTCTCAGAATTGGGAGTTTCACAGGGGACCATCTTAGTTCCACTTCTCTTCTAATATTTAATAACAACCTGTTAGCCACAGTTGGCTCGACGGCATTGATCTACGGAGACGATGAGAAGGTCTGGAGTTCCATTAGAAGCAAAGAGGATTCAACTGAGTTTCAAAAGGACCTCACATCTATTGAGGAATGGGAAGTGAAAAACGGTTTAAAACTAAAACAACCGAAGTGTCACGTCATGTTCATTCTGCCCCATATGGCGCAAACGATTTACAACCTCAATGAAAGTCTATTCCCTTATGTCTTCTCAGAGCGCGATCTCTGTTTAATGACCACTGAAAGACTTCACACAAGCCCGAACTATATAAGGGACGCAGCCAAGGCAAATGTGACTCTTCACTTTATGCGAAGACAACTTGGTTCTATCACCCCAGAATTACTCTTAACATTATTTAAGACATAGGCGCGCTCACGCCTGGAGGTTCACAGCGTCGTCGCGCCCCTTCTCCTAACAAACGAGACATAAATCTCTTGGATCGAGTGCAGAGACAAGCAACAAAATGGGTGATAGGGTTGACAGATAAAGCTTATGAAGATAGACTCCAGCATTTGGGATTATTCCCTCTGAGTTACAGGAGGATCAGAGGCGATGTGATTATGGCGTACAGCATATTAAGCACTCCAAACCATCTCAACGTGAGCATCTTACCGATACATCACCACCACTTCCCTTGAGGGAATACTTAGGTTCGTGCACGCCTTTTCTCATTGAGACCTTCTAGTTGCTATACTGTCATCTCCTCAGATCACTAACTTGACCCATCTCGCCTATTATCTCTGTTTCCTCTCCCATGCTAACACTTTGGTCCCCTCTCACAATCTTCACTACAGATTAATAAACTAAATTATCTATTGATTTACTTAGTTCTGAAATCTCTCTCATAATAGCATTAGAGTTTTATCCCTATTATTCTCCACATTGCAACTAACTGGTCTCCGGCCTGTTAACATGATAGCTACCAGTATGCAGAAACCCTATAGCCCTGAAACAAACCTGCTAATTCAAATCACGAGACATACAACTCACAACCGACTGCCAGCTGGCTAGAAGTAGTGCAGTCCTGACCGTCATTCATTGGACAATATCAAACACCTGAAACCGTACCGAAAGACCAAGAATCGAGCGCAAAACAATCAATTGGTTTATACTAGCTCGTGAAAAAGATGTTGGATATTGGGTATTGTAAAACATCAGTCATCACATCGACCACCTCCGGTAACAGTGTCTGATAACATTCTACGTAGCTCTTCCCCACGTTATATCCATAGGATGACAACTATTAACTAGTTTGGAGCGTGAGTTATCACACCCATCCCGTTCAGGATCAGAATCGGAAGGTCTGAATTTTAACATAATTGTTGTTTGCGAAATGAAAAACTTCACAAATTTGACCATAGAAGTTGGTGATATGAAAATCATTTTATGGTTTATACGTCTCGTTGTCTTATGAGTTTGCTCAGAGCGGGCAATTGTAAAGTTTCCAATTCGTCCTCACTCTGATCTCTGGGCTGCGTTCTGGGTTTGTTTAGTTGCCCGTATTGCTACTGACTGTTTTATGTTTGTTCTTTTATCAATCTAGGTGCTTATGTTCTCTTAATGATGCCCAAGCAAAACAAAAAGGAAAAACGCCTCTTCTCATCGCTTTGTGTTTGAAATTTCTCTGAATTACCAATTTTTCGCCTGAATACTTGCATTCTTGTTCAGATGCTAGATATACAGATACCACGGAAACGCAGTCTGATATAGTTGTGTTGAAGTGGGTTGTTTCCTTGTGGAATGAATTACATTTTCAAACAATAAATATACTTTGCATTGTGATAATAGTTTTTGTCAACAGTCTCAACCTTATTTTGACTCTCAATAATTTTGCCAATAACGGTTTTAATTCTTATCACTAAATGTTCAACTACATCGCTCCTTTATCCGCGTTTTTTGGTGAAAATAAAGACGGACGTATTAAACATCTGAGGGCAGGCGAAAATAAACGGTGCATTTTGTGTTCAGGCAAGAAGTACACAGTTTATCGACATTTCAAACAAGAAAAAATGGGAACATATCACCAGGCGCGATCCCATCTGACTGATCTCAGTCGCTAATTGTCCCAATCTACAAGAAAGGACAAAAGCTCTCTTGTGATAATCACAGAGGAATCAGTCGAACTAATATAATTTCTAAATTGTTAGCCTCGATTATACTTAGACGCCTAACTAGAGCTCGTGAAGAGCAGACTCGAGAAAACCAGTCTGGTTTCGAACTTGGACGTGGCTGTAGAGATCACATTTTCACACCACGACAGGTCCTGGAACACAGACACACATTTCAGCGTCCGACAATAGTTGTATTCATGGACCTGAAAGCGGCATTTGACTCTGTGGATCGTGAGGTCCTGTGGCAGTGTCTGTCAATGAAAGGTGTACCAAAGAAGTACATTGCCCTAAACAAGCTCTCTATTTGAACACTACTGGTCGAGTGAGAGCCTATGGCGAACTGTTATCTGAATTGGTTACTTCGAGTGGTGTCTGTCAGGGCTGTCCACTCTCTCCATTCTTGTTTAATTCTATCATAGACATGCTCCTAGATATAACCTCATGCTCGTCTGAAATTTCAGGAGTGGACCTTCTACCAGGAAAATCGCTTGTTGACTTAGAATATGCCGATGGTGTAGTTCAGTTTGGTGAAGACGCTGACAAAATGCAGTGTCTCCTGACCACACTAAGCAACAATCCAAGCATGTTCAGGAAGCGACACTCCCCGTCGAAATGCAAAATGTCGCTTCAAAGTTCGCTTGCATTGGCACCTGCACTAGTGATAGGGAGTGAAGTAGTTGAGGCGTGTAGACCGCTTCACTTATCTTGGGAGTCTCGTCAGTGCTGATGACCTGGTGACTGACAAGATCTTAGCACGGATACAGAAAGCTCGATCGGCTTCTGCCAACCTGAGTCACTTATGGCGCAGACGAGATAACCGTTTGCTGACTACAGGACGAGTGCACTGCGCAGTAGTTCTCTCCGTCCTAATTTATGGCTCTGAAACATGGCCAGTGAGAGTAGAAGATATTCGTAGGTTTCTTGTTTTCGATTAAACGTGTCTCCGACGTATTGCTCTTGTATCATAGGACAACCGAGTAAGCAATGCTGTTATTTGGGAAAGGGGGTAAGAATGGCAGATCGATAGATGAAATATTGAAACTTCATCAGTTGAGGTGGTTGAGACATGAGTTGAGTATGCCTAATCACTGACTGCCTCGTCGAGCTATGCTTTGCGATGTACGAATAGGTTGGATGAAAGCTAGGGACCGCCAAACCATAACATGGCATAAATCCATGAAGTCACTGACAAGTGGACTGAGTCATGTTGTTAGGTGTCGACTACCCGGTTGTGGTCAGCGAGATGATGATAATCGATGGTTAGAGACGCTGAATGACATGGCTCAAGACCGTTTGCAATGGCGCAGGTGCATTCATTCTTTGTGTTCTCTCGAATCCTAAACTTTTCAATTCCTCATCACTTTATCGTTTTAAGTCTGTTTCACTAGATTCTACTTCTTGAATAATATCTTCGAACCCCAATCTCTCCGATTACTGCTAATTCCTTTACTACTATTGGATTTGAATTGACAATCACATCTCTGTGCTAATGTCAGTCAGTCAGTCAGTCAGTTGCAACGTAGAACTTCGTACGTATGTACATAAGTTGATGTTGCCATACCACATTATTAGCACAGAGACACAAATGTCAAATCAAATCCCATAGTGATAAAGATGGTAGAGGTATTAATGTTATAATAAAGAAGACTAGGGTTTAAGATATCATTCAAAAAATATAATTCAGTGAGATAAGGTTAGAAAGACAAAGGTAGCGATGCTGACCAATCCAGAAGATTAGGATTTGAGAGAGCTCAAAGAGTGGATGCACCTGCGCCATTGCAAACGATTTTGAGCCATGTCGTTCAAGGTCTCTAACCATTGATGACTTTCGTCTAGCGGACCCCAACCAGGTAGTCTACATCTACCAACATGACTCAGTCCACTTGTCAGTGAGTTCATGGATTTGTGCCATGTTTTGGTCTGGCCGCCCCTAGCTTTCTTCCAACCTACTCCTACACCACAAAACATAGCTCGTCGAGGCAGTCGGTGGTTAGGCATACGTAACACATGTCCCAACCACCTCAACTGATGAAGTTTCACCACTTCATCGATTGATCTGCCATCCTTACCTAGAACTCGTTTCCTAACGACAGCATTGCTTACTCGGCTGTCCCACGATATGCGAGCAATGCTTCTTAAACATCTATGATCGAATACTAGTAACCTACGAACATCTTCTACTCTTAACGGCCATGTTTCACAGCCATATAATAGAACGGAACGAACTGCTGCGCAGTACACCCGCCCTTTGGTTAGCGAACGGATATCACGCCTACGCCATAAGTGACGCAGGTTGGCAAAAGCCAATCGAGCCTTCTGTATCCGAGCTGAGATTTCGTCAGTCACCAGACCGTCAGCACTGATGAGACTCCCCAGATAAGTGAAGTGATCTACACGCTCGACTACTTCACTCCCTATCACTAGTTCAGGTGCCGAAGCAACCCAGTCTTGAAGCAACATTTTGCATTTCGAGGGGGAAAACCGCATCCCGAACATGCTCGCATTGTTGCTTATGGTAGTCAGAAGACTGCATTTTGTCAGCGTCTTCACCGAATAGAACTATGTCATCGGCATATTCTAGATCATTAAGCGACTTTCCTGGTAGAAGGTCAACCCCTGAAAAATCTGACGAGCTTAATGTTAACTCTAAGAGGATGTCTACGACAAAGTTGAACAAGAATGGAGAGAGTGGACAGCCCTGACGGACACCACTTGATGTAGAGAATTCAGATGACAGTTCGCCATATGCTCTCACCCGACCAGTGGTGTTCGAGTAGAGTGCTTGTATAAGGTTAATGTACTTCTTTGGTACACCTTTCAATGACAGACACTGCCACAGAACCTCACGATCCACTGAGTCGAATGCCGCCTTAAGGTCTAGGAAAACGACTATTGTCGGACGCTGAAATGTGTGTCTGTGTTCCAGGACCTGTCGTAGTGTGAAGATGTGGTCTATACAACCACGTCCAGGTCGAAAACCAGCCTGGTTTTCTCGAGTCTGCTCTTCGCGAGCTCTAGTTAGACGTCTAAGTATAATCGAGGCTAACAATTTAGAAACTATATTAGTTAAACTTATTCCCCTGTGATTATCACAAGAGGACTTCTGTCCTTTCTTGTAGATTGGGACAATTAGCGACTGAGACCAGTCAGATGGGATTACGTCCATTTCCCAGATTCTACCTAGGATCTCGGTCAGTCTAACCGTTAAAACTGGACCACCATCCTTAAACATCTCAGGGGTAAGCCTATCGGGACCTGCCGCTCTACCTCCCGTTAGATTTCCTATAGCTTTCTCAACTTCATGGGAGGACTTAAATGGATTTGCCATTCAGGATGACTGGAGATCGTGGGCAACCGAAGAGTGGCTGAAGGCCAGTTGAACTGATCCCTAAAGTGTTCTGCCCATCGGTCCAGCCTCCTAGATTGAGAATGGATAGTCTCACTTACATTCGGGTTCCTAATACCGGTTTCTTTGATAAGGCGGAAAAGTTGTCTAGTGTTGCCTATCGCCGCTGCCTTTTCCATCGCTTTTGCTTTCGCCACCCACCACTGTTCACGGTCGTTACGTAGGCTCTTTATAAGTCTGCACCTAAGCTGACTACGCTCTTCATCATGTTCAGAGTCAGGTGGGATGCGTTTTCGAGCATCCATCAGTTCGGTGGATGCGACTGAAATCCACGGCTTCATCCTAGCCTTGTGGTTTACCTTGCTAGCAGATACCATTGCTGTTTCTACAGCCTTCTTGATATGATTCCAACCTGCTTCAGGATGGGAATCACTTGCATGGCCGCCTAACTGTTTTTCTAGTTCCTCCTGAAATATTTTCTTAGCTTGATTATCATCAAGTAAAGCCCTAAGAGGCTTGCTTACGGTGTCTTTCCTACGTCCAGCAAGCCTCAAACAAATACGTGCTCGCACTAGGGCATGATCTGAATCTAAACATGTGCCCCAGAACGAGCGACAGTCCTCTATCGAACCCCTCCATCGGTGGCTGATGGCGATATGATCTAGTTGTGTCCAACGTTGTGGTGGTGTGGCTACATGAACTGATGTACGTACTTAGTTTTACGTTGGTATTGATTGATTGATTGACTAACCTTATGGTTCACCGCATAGGCAGATATCACTGCTGTTTTCACAGCTTTCTGGATACCGTTCCAAGCTGACTCAGGGTGGGTGTCACGTACATGGCTGTCTAACTGTTTTTCTAGTTGATCCTGAAATATGTTCTTAACAGTGCTATCATTAAGTAGAACCGTCATAGGTTGTCTTGTGTTTTCCGTAGGTCCAGTAAGCCGCAAACAAATACGCGCTTGCACTAGAGGATGATCTAAATCTAAATATGTGCCCCAAAACGAGCTACAGTCTTTTATCGAATCCCCCCATCGGTAGTTGTTAGGAATTCGATCTAGTTGGGTCCAGCATTGAGACGACTTTAAGGGTCGCCAGGTCAATAGATGTTTTTCCTTGTGCTTAAAGTTGGTATTTACTAGGAATAGGTGCGTGTATGAGCATAGCTGCCGCAAACGGTTGCTATTATCGGTTTGTTCAGCCGCGACAATGTAAGATCCTCTCAGGTGTCTTTTCTTTCCACCTGGTTTACCTACTGCAGCATTAAACCCACTATTACTATATCAGACAGCCTAACATTTTGGAGTTCTAAAAGCTCTCTTTAAAACTCATCATTTACCTCGTCTGAACCGCAGTCAGTGGGATCGTAGGTAGATACGAAGAAAAGGCGACGGCGAGTGTCCTTATCTTTCCGCGTCTTTACTATCCTGTTCAGTCAGACCACGTACATGAACTATTTCTGCCCTAGAACTTGATACTATACCTACACGAGCGAGGCCACGGGAAGCAGCAGCAGAGCTCCTAGTTACACGTAGCGTGAACCGAGTTAATTCTCTATCTTGACAAAGCTAAATAAAAGTCGTGATTTTGCTCGGATCCTGTATATGCATTTCGAAGTCGCAATATACATCAATAGCACGGGATTCTATAGTCCTAGCTAGGAAGACCCGTCTCCCCGGTTGACACAATGTTCAAACACTAAAAGCTCCAAAAGGTGGTTTAGAACGGGGTTTCAGGAGACCAGGAATAACGTTTCGTGAACTCGAATCGTTTGCATTAGCGGTGCAGTGAGATAAGGGGATGTGAGTAGAGTTAGTTGTGGAGAGAAGAGAGGTATGTGTGGGTGTAGGAAGAACTTGTTTGTGACCTATTTGGTCGCGCGTGCTGTTACGGGTATGAGGGTGGTTATCACTTCCCATCTGCCCACACCGTGGAAGGGTGTTTCTTGAGGAACCTCAAAAAGAAGGTAGACTAGCGTTGGTCTTAGAGACCTGGAAGCGTGACCACAGAACCCAAGGGATAACTGCTTGAGGCCGATCAAGCATGGCCTTTTTGTGAGAAGTTTTTAAAGTATTAGCTCCGCTCTTGTTTAAAAGGCCTTACCGCCGGAGACGGAAATCCGTGAGCTAAGATGAGGTGTGACATTTTTAGAGTCGACCTTTACCAGATCCTTCCTTCTTTGTGAGAAGGCAACATCGCTGCATATGCTGGTTGTCCAAGGTAAATGCCTTGGTGCTATCACACCTCTCTACAGTCAGCAGTATAACTTCGTCCTCAGCCCTTGAGTAGCTGCTCTTAGGCTCATCGTTCTCCAATCGACCTGCCTGGCATGGCAGGACCTACAGGAACATGTGTTGCAGCTAATGTAGCTCGGTTACGTTGTCACGATAAGCAAGCCCGACCACCATGATAAGGTAGCAGCTTCTGTCGGGAACTGCAAATGTCTAGTGCATGCTTTTAACAAGAAGACATCAGGGACAAGTTTTTGAGTCTACTAAATTCATTAGATTACTAATTTGCACTTCAGATGGCCGTGGTGACCTGATTGACGGATGATAATCCGAAAATTCTCCATGTGCAATATTTTCCATACGTCGTAAAACTTGTAGTAGCTAGCTACTGCACACAACATTTATTCGAAAATGAATGTTTTTTGACAGCATATAAAATAACTGTTCTGATAATGAACTGGTAATCATGAGTGTTTGGTTGAAGTCCATTAGAAAACAAGATAAATAGATCTTCGCTATGCTGGCCACTGATTTTGGTCGTCCTGCAAATCGTTACTAATGAGTAGGTAGTTCTTTGCACGGTCCAGACCAGTAGTCATGTAATTCAAAGTTTCTAGTCCTTTTTGATTCAGTTTCCTGGAGTAGGCGTCATAAATTATTTGTGTAGACAGTCATACTCGACTTAGAACCTGATATGTAGACTGCTTAAACATCCCTAAGTTCTTGTTTCATATATTCCAGTCGATCTAAATTGGCAGTCGTAAATTCTTAAGACTTCTGTATCAAAAAACCGTACGACCAACGTAGTGATGTATGTGGTCTTCAAACTACTCAGAGTTCAGCAATCAGGGGTAAAAGTTTTTATATAAGGTTGTACGTTCGTTTGTATAGAGATATACAACTAGTTTGTCAAATTTTTCGTTTTTGATACTTCTTATTTTTTGGAGCGGCTATTGTTCGTCTTGGATACCATCATTTCGTGTTTTTCCTAACTTGCTGTCGTGTAGTTTCATTACCGTATCAAAATGTTTTTACTACTTGCACTATTTCATCGTAACACATTTTCATGTTAACCCCCTTCGTTTATTTGTAATTTTTTCCCATGTTTTAGGTGTATTGTCGTCACAACTTTATCGCATGATTTTCTGTCAATATTCTTAACGAAGAAACCAGTTTTATTTATCGATTCTTCGTTGTGAGGTTATGTTATGGTTTGTGTTGTTATTAATTTTCTAAACCTAAAAGAGAAGAAGCTTAGCACCAAGCAGATTAAATTGTACAAGAGAGTCACCCAGTGCACCAGAGGTGTCTAATTTTTCGCTAATCCCTTATTTTAGCCCCCACTGAAAACGTATAGAACAGCTTTAAATGAAAAAAATGTTCCATGTCACTCCCCAATTAACTTCATTAACCCCTTCAGAAAGTCATTACCTGCATGCGACTACGCTGATTCTCACGTATGTAGAAAATGTTTTATTGAAAATCCTTTTAGGAAGATCTTATTCGCAATATTTTATCAAAGCCTTTTCGAGTCCCAATTATTAACTATAATGGTAAAATTTGTTTCATACTTCTATTTTTAGGTAGTCCAAGTGATGTGAGGGCTTTAGGTGTTCGTCGTAACACGTCTAAAGTTGCTTTACATGACCCTTTTGAAGAAGGTGCCTTAGTTTTGTACTCACCTCCTGAAGTGACAGCCCATGATGCTCTTAAACAGGAAGCGTAATTATAAATCTAACTCTATAAGTATTTTCTAGGACTAAGCATTTAGTTCATGTCGTCGTCGATCCAATGTTATCAAAAATACTTCGTCCCCATCAGCGTGAAGTAAGTTATTAACAAATAGTTTACCTTGTAAGTGGTTGTTTGAGAAAATGATACATTTTTGTCCGACTGTATTTAACGATTTCGTGAGTATATTTCCCTATGTAGTAGACAAGTTTTACGCTTCTTTCGTGAGTTACACTCGTATCTTTTGAATCAGTCATTATTGTTGATTCACACCATATGTTTTGCTCCTGACTTGATTAGTTTATACTTTAACATAATACAAATTTTTACTTGTTATTGAAAGCCGTTTACGAGGAAATTGACATCATTGAAAGTACGTGCAATAAACGATGTAGTAAGATTATTCACTGGTGTCTCAACACGATTTACATGTTTCATTTGGGAAAATCAACTTTTCAGATTCATCTACTTCCATTGTTCATATCTCTTTTCTTAGGGTGTCAAGTTCATGTATGATTGCGTTACTGGTGTGCAAATACCTAACAATCATGGATGTATCATGGCAGATGAAATGGGTCTTGGCAAAACACTGCAATGTATCACATTAATCTGGACATTATTGGTTGGTACAATGTAGTTTTTAATTGGTTGCTTCATGTTAAATGTGATGATAACTCAATTTAATTGTTTACATATAATTGAAATGACAAGTTATGAAATGTTAACTTGGAAATTTTTAAAACTAATCCATTTCAAACCATAAAATAGTAAAGTCACTCAACATAATATCCGATCTGATAACCAACATACAGTTAGTTTTTAACGTCTGACGGTAGATTAGCTAAAAGATATGAAACTGAATAAAATCTTGTTAGGAAAACACTACTCTTTATCAGTAAGTCAGCTACAGTTATGCTTTGCAAGTTAAAAAACATATTTACGTTTCTTAGAAATCAAAACGCTTTTGTTTTATTAATTTTGTGCAGTAAAATGCTTCTATTATATGAACTGTGTAGCCTAATCCACTGTATGTAACATACCAACAGTGAAGAAACTTAGGTTATGATCTAGCAATATAGGACATACTTTACTTACTTACACCTGTTACCCCCAATGGAGCGTAGGCCACCGACCACTATTCTCCAACTTACTCTGTCCTACCTCTACAGTACTGTCTTGTCCACGCTGTCGAATGCTTTCTCCTTGTCAATGAAGTTGGTGTAGATCGGTGAGTTCCATTCAATTGATTGTTCCACAATGATACATAATGTTGCGATCTGGTCGGTACACGATCGATCCTTACGAAATCGACCCTGTTTATTTGGAAGTTGGGTGTCTACGAAGTCCTTCATTCTGTTTAGTAACACCCTGTTGTTGACTTTGCCTGATAATTGAAAGAAGAGTGATGCCTCTGTTCTTCTCACACTTACTGAGATCGCTTTTCTTTTGTTTTTTGATCAGGTATCTTTCCTTCCAGTCTGTTGGTACTTGTTCATTATCCCAAATCTTGTTGAAGAGAATGTGGAATATTATGCAGTTGCTGCCACGTTTGCTTTCATTACCTCTGATGGAATGTTTTATGTTCCCTCTGATTTGCCACACTTCGTTTGTCTGATTGCCATGCTGATCTTTTCAATTATTGGTGGGCCAACATCGATTTGGAGGTCCGTGGATGCTGCTTCGATGTTGGGTGTGTTGAGTGAGGCTGGTTAATTCAAGAGTTCCTTAAAGTGCTCTACCCATCTGTTTCGCTGTTCTTCAGTGTTGCTGATTACTGTGCCTTCCTTGCTTTTCACTGGTCGTTCTGGTTTCCGATAGTGTCCCGCAAGCTTCTCTGTTGTTTCGTATAATAGTTTCATGTTTCCTTCTCTTGCAGCCTTTTCCGCCGTCATTGCTGGGTCTTCCACATATTTTCGTTTGTCGGCTCTGATGCTCTTCTTCACTTTCCTGTTTGCTTCTGTGTATTCAGCTTGTGCGCTGGTATTCGAACATAAGTGTCTCCGAAGCATCGCCCGTGCTTCTTTTATAAATGTTTATAAATATGTTATACACAAGTAGGAATGGTCTTACTATCCATTCTCAATCCAGGAGACTGGACTGATGGGCAGAACACTTCAGGGATCAGTTCAATTGGCCTTCAACCACACTTCGGTTACCTACGATCTCCAGTCATCCTGAATGGCAAATCGATATTAGTCATCCGAGTCTTTGTGAAGTTCAGAAATCCATAGGAAATCTAAAGCGAGGGCTAGCTGCAGGTCCTGATAGACTAACCCCTGAGATTTTTAAGGATGGTGGTCCAGTTTTAGCAGCTAGATTGACAAAGATCTTAGGTAGAATCTGGGAACTGGACGTAATCCCATCTGACTGATCTCAGTCGCTAACTGTCCCAATCTACAAGAAAGGACAAAAGTTCTCTTGTGATAATCACAGAGGAATCAGTCGAACTAATATAATTTCTAAATTGTTAGCCTCGATTATACTTAGACGCCTAACTAGAGCTCGTGAAGAGCAGACTCGAGAAAACCAGTCTGGTTTCAGACCTGGACGTGGCTGTAGAGATCACATTTTCACACTACGACAGGTCCTGGAACACAGACACACATTTCAGCGTCCGACAATAGTTGTATTACTGGACCTGAAAGCGGCATTTGACTCTGTGGATCGTGAGGTCCTGTGGCAGTGTCTGTCATTGGAATCGGGATTTGGATTTACAATTCCATCCCTGTGCTAATGTGGTTTGGCACCTTTAACTGATGTACATACGTACGAAGTTCTATGTTGTTGTTGTGGTTGTTGTTGTTAACTGACTGACTGATCCAGCTTGTCTCGTCGCTTTCTTTACTGTTGTTCGACTGATGTTGATTGCTTATTCCTCCTTTCTTGAATCTTATCCAGTCTATCAACAGTGATCCATTCTTGTGATAGTGCTTCTTATGGCCCAGAACTACACGATATGTTGAAGTTATTGCTACCTTATTCCGTTTTTGGTTGTTCTCCGTGATAGTCTCCTCTCCAGTGAATAGGTCGTGAAAGGCCTGGAACATATTGTTGAGTGTTATCTTAGATTCGTTGAGTTTGCCAGTATCCTGAAGGAAGGCCGTATTCAACTTTTGTGATGTCTACCCCGTAGTCCAGTGCTTCTTTAGTTTCAGTTTCATTTTGGCGATCAGCAAGTGGTGATCTAAGGCTGTCAGCTCCTGTCTTGGTTCTCACGTATTCCATGGTCCTTCTGAACCTTTTATTGATACAGATATGATCGATTTGGTTCTGAGTAGTGTGATCCGGGAAACTCCATGTGGCTTTGTGTATGGGTTTGCATGGGATTATTCTGCCGCCGATGACCAGTTTGTCGAAGTCTCATAGGTTTGCAAATCTCTCACCATTTTCGTTCCTTTCTCCTAGTCTTGCCATGATGTCTTCATATCCAGTGTTGTCCATTCCAACCTTGGCATTTAGGTCTCCCATCAGAATGGTCAAGTCCTTTGTTGGACATTTCTCAACGATTTACTGCAGCCTCTTGTAGAATCGATCTTTATCGTCGTCATTGTAGTCGTTGTTAGGTACATAGCATTGGATGAGTTCGTTGTAATGTCCTCTTTCTTTGTTTTGAAGGATGCTTTAATGATCCTGAGTACATGAGATTCCCATCCTACCAGTGCCTTTTGTGCTTGTTTGGACAGCATCGGTGCGGCTCCTTGTGTGTGAGGCATTTTATTCTTCATGGCCGAGTGGTTGCTCTGCTTATCAGAAGGGGCATCGGCGTCGCGACTTCCGAAGGAACTCGGCTTTCATCATGAGACGTCATAACTCTTCTGAATGGAGACGTGATTCCCAGGGCAGAGTTAAAATGGTTTGATTTACTTTTTATAGTTAACGTCTTTTGGCGAGTTAGTTTTTTTGGTAGATTGGGGTCGCCGAACCCTCCTCCTTTATCCGCGCTTAAGACCGGCAGTAGCCCCGAAGGTCTTACAGGCGGAGTTCAACTGATAATAGATTAGAATTAAATCTTAGAGGATCTCACATCTAATGTGACTTGACAGACCATCATTCGATCGTGAGCCGCCTCAACCAGGTTCTCTTGGTTTGAGAAGTTCACAGTCGTAAGATGCAGAGACAACATGGTTGTGAGCCGTGACACCAGTTGTCATGGTGGTGTGGTGGCCTATACCACAATAGGGTTGAAGCTAATGTCGCGTATCATATATACCCGTGCGCTTCGATTCAGCAACCATCTACCATCTCAGGCAATCTCAATCACCATACGGGTTGCATTATGAACATTTTTAAATCTCTAGCGACATTTTCAGCAAAACACGGCTTTTCATGTCTGACTTGGATTTTAGGGGGTCGTTTAACGTATGGTGTTCGAGATATAAGTAGGATTTGTCTTGAGACATATGCCAGATCTGTAGTAACTCCTAATGATAGGGCTTTAGTACGCAGTCCTTATACAGCCAGCACCAGCAGCACAGAAGGGGCATCGGCGTCGCGACTCTCGAAGGAACTCGGCTTTCGTCATGAGATGTCATAACTCTTCTGAATGGAGACCTAACTCCCAGGGCAGAGTTAAAATGGTTTGAATTATGTTTTCTGCTTAGCGTTTTTTAGCGACTCAACCCTCTTTTATCCGGGCTTGGGACCGGCAGTAGCCAGTCAAACTTCGTGAAGGAGAAGCTCATTTATTTATTACGTGTTGGAGAAAATTTTTATGCATTATAATGATATAGACGTGAAAAGTTAATTTTCGAAAGTAATCGCGAAAAAATTTTTCTAAATAAAATGCTTGGTTAATTTTCGCAAACATCAAATTCATTTCATCTCTCATGAATCTTCGCTGAACAAGACTAAAAATCTCTTTGAGGAGTCCGAAAGCTCCTGGGTCAACCTTGATATATATCTTAGCTCGATATGCCACTGGCCTCAGTATGTTCGCGAGTAGTTAGAGTTCTCACTCCCTCCTAAATTCTTCATGTGTCCGCTCATTTTCTTATTCAACTATCAAATTTCTGCCCATTGTCTTCACCAAGTCTGGTGTTGTTTTAAAAACTTAGTAGATGATATTTTGGAACATTATTGATAAGTCATTGGTTTGCTTAACTTTCTTTTGTTTTGTAATTTCACTTAGCGTCAAGGTCCAGAAGGCAAACCAATAATTGATAAGGCGGTAGTAGTTACACCTAGTAGCTTACTGCGAAACTGGTACAATGAGTTTGAAAAATGGTTGCATGGGAAGGTACATCCACTAGCTATTGATTCTGGGAGTAAGGAAGATATTGATAATAAACTAGGTAAGATAATTCTGACTGAAAGTGGATAATAAATATTCATGAGAAAAGAATAACTCTTGATTTAAAATTATTAGTATCTTTTATTGATATTTTTAATTAATGTTGTTTCAAATGCTCTCAGTATTCTTGGGAACTCGTTTGTATATGCATATTTCGAACTTAGTTTATAAAAATATCGGTTTTGTTAAGGGGTACATAAAAACAGTATTTCGTTTCAGTCTTACAGTCTATGGGTTTAAACATTTTTACTTACCTGTTTAAATGCATCTTAGTTTTTATTCAGTATTATTAAACGTTATCTGAGTATTATGAACATTGATATTAACGTGATTCTTTGGTCTCTTCTTTGGTTTCTTCTGAATTTATTAACAGCTGGTTTTCTTTCTCAAACCGGTCGTCGAATTCCATCACCAATTTTAATTATCTCCTACGAAACTTTTCGATTACATGCGTCTGTTTTACACAAAAGTTCTGTGGGCCTGGTTCTATGTGATGAGGTAGCTTATGCTATTTTATGTTATATTGTTATCATAACTTCATATAATTGCGATTCCCATCTTGTTTTTTTAATAAATTATCTTATAATTCTGCATACTCAATATCCCTAAATATTCGACGAACATTCCTCATAGTTCGATTTTTCATATCTGTTTTGAAACTTTCAAAATTCTTTCAGATGATTATTTGGCACATGCTGGTAAAATTGATCAAGATTGAAAACAATTTAAGGCCAATGAAAATGATTAGTTTAAAAGTTTGGTTTCATTTATTGGTCGAAGAATACAAAAGAAGTAGACACTCGTACTGAGATTCAGTGGCTCACTAGATTGAGGTCTAAAATTATATTATAAATGGTGACATTCTCTTGGGGTTCAAGAATGTAGGACGTGTCTGCATGTTCACAAATCAAACCAACGGATTATGTTCCTCGAAACGCTTCTGAAGATATGCTAAAATTAACAAAATGTAAATTTTGTTTTAGTCAGACGTTAAAATAAATAAAATCATACAGTTAGATGTGTATTTGTTGTTCTAGTGTAAGCACAAAGAACACTAGAGAATTTTCAGAAGCTTGGCACTCAGGTCAATGAGCAATCAATAAACACATTGACATTAACCTAATTTATCAACCAATCAAAAAAATAAAAGGCAAACATGGGATCAAGAAACAAATCAAAGGGGAATACAATCAAAATGAAGGTGCAAACAACGACAGGTCAATCAAATGCAATGAAGATCATGGTCAAGAAAACAAGCTACAGGTCATATGTGGATAAAATCGAGTGCTTCACTTCCGATGCTGTTGTTCAGAAGAACAATGAAAGCACCATAACCAAAACATCCAGCTCAGAGAACAAAACTGCACCACACTGATGATACTCTCAAGATAAGTGAAGCGGTCAACACACCTCAACTACTTCACTCCCTATCACTAGTGCAGGTGCCAATGCAAGCGAACTTTGAAGCAACATTTTGCATTTCGACGGGGAGTGTCGCTTCCTGAACGTGCTTGGATTGTTGCTTAGTGTGGTCAGGAGACACTGCATTTTGTCAGCGTCTTCACCAAACTGAACTACACCATCGGCATATTCTAAGTCAACAAGCGATTTTCCTGGTGGAAGGTCCACTCCTGAAATTTCAGACGAGGATGAGGTTATATCTAGGAGCATGTCTATGATAAAATTAAACAAGAATGGAGACAGTGGACACCCCTGACAGACACCACTCGAAGTAACCAATTCAGATAACAGTTCGCCATAGGCTCTCACTCGATCAGTAGTGTTCAAATAGAGAGCTTGTTTAGGGCAATGTACTTCTTTGGTACACCTTTCATTGACAGACACTGCCACGGGACCTCACGATCCACAGAGTCAAATGCCGCTTTCAGGTCCAGTAATACAACTATTGTCGGACGCTGAAATGTGTGTCTGTGTTCCAGGACCTGTCGTAGTGTGAAAATGTGATCTCTACAGCCACGTCCAGGTCTGAAACCAGACTGGTTTTCTCGAGTCTGCTCTTCACGAGCTCTAGTTAGGCGTCTAAGTATAATCGAGGCTAACAATTTAGAAATTATATTAGTTCGACTGATTCCTCTGTGATTATCACAAGAGAACTTTTGTCCTTTCTTGTAGATTGGGACAGTTAGCGACTGAGATCAGTCAGATGGGATTACGTCCAGTTCCCAGATTCTACCTAAGATCTTTGTCAATCTAGCTGCTAAAACTGGACCACCATCCTTAAAAATCTCAGGGGTTAGTCTATCAGGACCTGCAGCTAGCCCTCGCTTTAGATTTCCTATGGATTTCTGAACTTCACAAAGACTCGGATGACTAATATCGATTTGCCATTCAGGATGACTAGAGATCGTAGGTAACCGAAGTGTGGTTGAAGGCCAATTGAACTGATCCCTGAAGTGTTCTGCCCATCAGTCCAGTCTCCTGGATTGAGAATGGATAGTAAGACCATTCCTACTTGTGTATAACATATTTATAAACATTTATAAAAGAAGCACGGGCGATGCTTCGGAGACACTTATGTTCGAATACCAGCGCACAAGCTGAATACACAGAAGTATGAATAGTCGCTTATTGGTGCTTATCGCCCCTGCCATTCCATCTCTCTCGCTTTCACTACCCACCACTATTCTCGATCATTGTGTAGGCTTTTTATCAGTCTGCGCCTAAGCTGACTACGCTCCTCATCGCACTCTCTTATACAAGCTCTCTATTCGAACACCAGTGGTCTAGTGAGAGCCTATGGTGAACTGTCATCTGAATTCTCTACATCAAGTGGTGTCCGTCATGGCTGTACACTCTCTGCATTCTTGTTTATCTTTGTTGTAGACATCCTCTTATAGTTAACATTAAGCTCGTCAGATTTTCAGGGATTGAACGTTTACCAGGAAAATCGCTTGCTGATCTAGAATATGCCGATGACATAGTTCTATTCGGTGAAGACGCTGACAAAATGCAGAGTCATCTGAATTCCCTACATTAAGTGGTGTCCGTCAGCGATGCGGTCCCCCCCCCGAAATGCAAAATGTTGCTTCAAGACTGGGTTGCATTGGCACCTGAACTAGTGATAGGGAGTGAAGTAGTCCAGCTTCACTTATCTTGGGAGTCTCATCAGTGCCGATGGCCTGGTGACTGACGAAATCTCAGCTCGGATACAGAAGGCTCGATTGGCTTTTGCCAACCTGCATCACTTATGGCGTAGGCGAGATATCCGTTTGCTGACTAAAGGACGAGTGTACTGCGCAGTGGTTCGCTCCGTCTTACTTTATGGCTGTGAAACATGGCCAGTGAGAGTAGAAGATGTTCGTAGGTTACTGGTTTTCGATCATAGGTGTCTTCGAAGCATTGCTCGTATATCGTGGGACACCCGAGTGAGCAACGCTGTTATTAGGAATCGGGTGCTAGGTAAGAATGGCAGATCAATTGATGAGGTGGTAAAACTTCATCAGTTGAGGTGGTTGGGACATTTGTTACGAACGCCTAAACACCGACTGCCGCGACGAGCTATGTTTTGTGGTGTAGGAGTAGGTTGGAGGAAAGCTAAGATCGGCCAGACCAAATCATTGCACAAATCCATGAAGTCACTGACAAGTGGATGCAGACTAGCTGGTTGGGTCCGCGAAACGAAAGTCACCAATGGTTAGAGACTTTGAACGACATGGCTCAAAATCGTTTGCAGTGGCGCAAGTGCATCCATTCGTTGTGCTCTCTCAAATCCTAATCTTCTGGATTCGTCAGCACCTCTACCTTTGTCTTTCTAACCTTATCTCACTGAATTATACTTCTTGAATAATATATTCAAACGCTAGTCTTCTTCATTACCATTAATACCTCTACTATCTCTATCAGTCAGTCAGTCAGTCAGATGCAACGTAGAACTTGGTACGTAAGTACATCAGTTCATTTTGCCACACCACATCAGCACAGAGACATAATTGTCAATTCAAATCCAATAGTAGAAGAGGTATTAAAGGTATTAGAAGTAATCGGAGAGGTTAGGGTTAGAAGATACTATTCAAGAAGTAGGATTCAGTGAGAAAAGTTTAGAGAGTCGAAACTAGAGGTGTTGAAGAATACAGAAGATTAGGATTTGGATGATAATAATCCCATCCTTTTATTGAAATAGTCTCACTTACATTCGGGTTCTTAATACCAGTTTCTTTAATAGGGCGGAAAAGTTGTCTACTGTTGCCGATCGCCGCTGCCTTTTCCATCGCTTTTGCTTTCGCCACCCACCACTGTTCGCGGTCGTTACGCAGACTTTTTATAAGTCTGCGCCTAAGCTGACTACACTCTTCATCATGCTCAGAGTCAGGTGGGATGCGTTTTCGAGCATCCATCAGTTCGGTGGATGCGACTGATATCCACGGCTTCATCCTAGCCTCATGGTTTACCTTGCTAGCAGATATCACTGCTGTTTCCACAGCCTCTTTGATATCATACCAACCTGCTTCTGGATGGGAATCGCTTGCATGGTTGCTTAACTCTCTTTCTAGTTGCTCCTGAAATATTTTCTTAGCTTGATTATTATTAAGTAAAACCCTAAGAGGCTTTCTTACGGTGTCTTTCCTACGTCCAGTAAGCCTTAAACAGATACGAGCTCGCACTAGAGCATGATCTGAATCCAAACATGTGCCCCAGAACGAGTGACAGTATTCTATCGAACCTCTCCATCGGTGGCTGATGGCGATGTGATCTAGTTGAGTCCAACGTTGAGACGACTTTGGAGGTCGCCAGGTCAACAAATGCTTTTCCTTATGCCTCAAATTAGTGTTCGCTAAGAATAGGCGGTTATCTGAGCATAGTTACAACAGACGGTCGCCATTGTCTGTTCTCTCAGTCGCTACACCATAACATCCACCTAGATGTCTTTCCTTTTCACCTAGTCTACCTACTTGAGCATTAAAGTCACCAGCCATTATTACTATATCAGAGCGCCTAGCTTTTTGGAGGAGGTGCGAAAGCTTTCTGTAAAACTCATCTTTAACCTCGTCTGCACTGCAGTCAGTGGGGGCATAGGCAGATATGACGAAGAGGCAACGGCGATTGTCCTATCCTTCCGAGTCCTTACTGTCCCGTTTAGTCGGACAGCACACAAACGACTATCTACTGGGATCCAGTCTAGGAGAGATAATTCTGCCCTAGGACTCAACGCTATGCCTACGCCAGCAAGACCCCTGGAAGCAGCATCAGGGCTACCGGATACACGAAGAGTGAATCTGGCTGCTTCTTCGTTTTGACAAGGTGGAATCAGGTTAATGACTTTACTAGGATCCTGTATGCGCGTTTCCGAGACGCAGCACACATCGATGGCACGAGTTTCTAAAGTCCTAGCTAGTGATGCCTGTTGCCCTATTTGACACAATGTCCGTACATTAAATGCTCCAACATGTAGTCTAGAACGGGGTTTCAGGAGACCAGGAACGACGTTTCGTGATTTCGCTTCGTCTGCATTAGGGGTGCAGTGGGAAAAGGGAGTGTGAGTAGAGTTAGCCGTAGAGATACGGGAGACATTAGAGGGTGTAGGAAGGATTTGATTTTGACCAATTTGGTCTCGCGTGCTGTTACGGGTATGAGGGCGGTTGTCACTTCCCGGCTGCCCACACCGTGGAAGGTTGTTTCTTGAGGGACCTGAAAAGGAAGATGGATTAGTGTTGGTGCGTGACTGCAGAGCCCAAGGGACAACTGCTTGAGGCCGGTCACGCACGGCCTTTTTATGAAAAGATTTTTGAGTATTAGCTCCGTTCTTCAAGGCCCTTAGTGGGCACCCTTACCCAGGGAGACGGAAATCCGTGAGTTAGGGGAGGTGTGACATTTTTAGGGCCGACCTTTTCTAACCCTTCCTTCCTTGTGAGAAGGCAGCACCGCTGCAGATGCTGGTTGTCCGAGGGAAACACCTTACTGCTGTCACACCTCTCTATCACAGTCAGCAGTACGACTTCGCCCTCAGCCCTTGGGTAGCTGCTTTTAGTCTCATCGTTCTCCGATCGACCTCCCTGGCATGGTAAAACCTTCAGGAACATATGTTCCAGCCAGTATAGCTCGGTTGGGTCATGTCGATAGGCAAGCCCGACCACGACGTCAAGGTATCAGCTACGGCCGGGGCTCGCCCCTTGGGCAGATATCACTGCTGTTTCCACAGCTTTCTGAATATCGTTCCAGGCTGCCTCAGGTTGGGAATCGTTTACATGCTTGCCTAACTTTTTCTGGTTACTCTTGAAATATACTCTATGCTTTGCGATGGTTTAACGGATATTTAATATGTGTCTTTGCTGTGCCTTTATTACTTTCAGTGAGCAGCAGACACTCATGTTCTCTTGTTAGAGCATGATCGGAATCTCAAGTTGCGCTCCAGTACAAGCGACAGTCTCCCATCGATCCTCTCCATTTGTGGCTGATCGCGATGTGATCTGGTTGGGTCCATCGTTGGGATGACTTTGGGAGTCGCCATTTGTTACTCCCTTTCAGTCGGAGTCGGAAATCCCTGGGGTAAAATGAGGTGTCATTTTTTAGGATTGACCCTTTCTAACCCTGTCTTTCCATTGTGAAAAGGCAACATTGGTGCAGATGCTGGTTGTCCGAGGTAAAACGCCTTATTGCTGTCACATCTCCTGCAGTCAGTATTACGACTTCGCTCTTAGAACTTAAGTTGCTGCTTTTAGTCTTATCGTCACCCAAACCGACCTGCATGGCATTGTAAGACCTAAAGGAGCATGTGTTCCTTGCAATTTAGCTTGGTTCGGTCATCATGATAGGCAAACTCGACCGCTACAACCTGGCAGCAGCTACGTTTGGAAACTCAGTCTAAACAGATAGCATATACAGCACACAATAACAGGGAGAGAAATACAGAAAAGGTAGCAATGAGCACCGCAGAAGATTGGACTCATAGCTTACGTGCACCTACAGGGCAAGTTTAAATGATTGTTTATTACCTTTGCACTTCTTCAAACCAACGATATATCTTGGAGGTCTACTTAGTAAAACTATGGTATACCATGAAATAATGCGTATTCAAATCCTTCAAACATGTTCAAAAGTGAACTTTTGTGTATAAGTGTTTTTGTTTGAAGTTCAATATTTGTATTTTAATATATTTTATGCTGAAACCGAATACTTGCTTGCTGTTCCTTTACTTTTCAAAATAATAAGCTAGATTCTCTAGTAATAAACCTCGATTTTCATCATATTTTCAATTTCGCTTAAATAGGGACATCGTTTGAAAAATTCGGAAAATCAAACATATCAAGCACTAGTTCAGTTAAACTGTCCACGTCGTGTACTTCTTTCTGGCACACCAATTCAGAATGATTTGCTTGAATATTTTAGTCTAGTACACTTCGTCAATACGGGATTGTTAGGTACAGCTAGTGAGTTCAGACGTCGTTTTGAAATACCGATTTTGCGTGGACGTGATGCAGATGCTACTGATGAAGATCAAAAGAAAGGCGAAGAAATACTACAGGAAGTATGTCTATTGGTATCCTGTGTTCTTACCTGTTGTTCTAATCCATGCTATATGAAATTTATATTTCATTAGGAAACACCCATCCATTTCAAGATTTAACTACGATTTCTGTTGGACATTTGCTCGCTACACTGTGTGACGCAATCATAGACACTATAGTACCTAATACATATATGGATCGATTCGCCTCACCGTACACCGATAGCAGAGTGAGGTGAAATTCTAAATAAAGATCACAGCGTTACAAAACTAGTGACAATATCAATAGTGATAAGAAAGTGTACTTTTAGACTAATAAATTGAGGGAGTGAAACGGGAAGTATAATTTCAAAACTTAAGATCTCAAAAAAGACAAAGACTGAATTCACGTGTACCATTGCGAATGATTCTTTGTCATGTCACCCAAAGTCCTTAACCATTGGTTTTTACGGTGATCACTCGGACTCCAACCAGGTAATTTTCATCTACCTACATGACTCAGTGCTAAAGTCAGTCTTCATGGAGTGTAACCATATTTTGTTTTGGTCGCTCGTATGTTTTTTACAACATACTTCTTACCAAGTGAACATCGCGTAACGAGATAGACGATAGTTGGGTATACATAATACATGTTCCAATCTTCATCGTTGATGAAGATTCATTGTGTGATCGGTTGATTTTCCATCTTTACCAAATAAACTGAGTTAACTCCTAGTATTACTCGCTTGTTGGTTCAAACATATGCGAGCAATGCTTTAAAGGTATCTTTGCTCTAATTGGAGCTTTTGATATCAATAAATCACCTAATCTGGTAAGGTCATCCGGAGTTTAAATCTATGTCTAAATTCAAAAATGTAGATTTGTATAATCAACTCACAAATCCGAATTAGCGGTTAAGCATTCACTTTTCAAGTCATTGTATAAGATATCGTTAGCAGACGATTGAAGGTTTTCAAAAAGTTTTTGGATATTTAGTTTAGATGCAATCACTTCAACAAGTAAAGGGAACTATAGTTTCAAATAATCCTTTATGTTGGACATCATTATTATTGTCATAACTAGTATTAGCTGCTTACTTCATTTTTTTTATCTGTTTCACATAGTTATTTTCGCTATTTTATTCCTATAGTTTCCCTTTGTCTGCTTCTTTGTTAAATTGTTAATGTATTGATCTTTGAAGTTGTTTCTTCAAGATTTAGGGAGTTTTCTGATTAGACTGCAAATGTAGTTGCTGATTCGTTCCCATCTTAAAGAATCGTAATTTGTAATAATTAGTCCACATCAACATTTCATAGCGTAAATCTATATTTTAATTCATCATTCGAACTTTTAAGTCATAAATCAACTAGCATCGTTTATATTAATGTTTTACTTATTCCCATTATCCCCGATAAATGTAATTTATACCTTCCTACGAACAGAAAATTTAGCACGTTTGAACACCTTTTTTCATTTGACTTGATAATCATTTTTATTTACCTAATTATCTTTAAATATACCGTCTAATCAGTTAAACGTTCTATTATTATGATTATAACTTTTACTTTATTCGTTATAAAAAGCTTTTAGGTATTGTGACACGGTGTATTATTCGTCGGACCCAAGCTTTACTCACAAAATATTTACCTGTCAAAAGTATGTCAGTCTGTATTTCTTTTACTTTTTTATAGTATTTAATAGCCAGTATGCAAGAGTAATTCCTCATGCCGTATTTAACTTCTTTGGAATAAACTTTTTTTCCTATACGTTTTCTAAATAAATTACTGTATATCGATTTCAAATATTTTATAAAATCTTTAACCACTTTGAGTTACATTTGAGTCCAAGTAGTTAACCATCACAATATTTTTCTTCTTACACCATGTATTTAGTTGTGTTGTTTTTCGTTCTCTACTACCAAATATGTATTATTTATGTAAATTTAAATAAGCGCTAAACGTACCCTTTAAAATTTGTTTTCATACAGTTTCACTACCGAATTGTCGCACAGGTGTAGTGTTTAGAATTTCGGCATTTATAAATTTACAGAATGAATTGTAGTCCATTTAAAACAGCTGTTTATCCCAATTCGAGTTTTTCAAAGTAGTTTTACCGTACGTCATCGTGTATGTATTTGCATAATAGATCAATCATAAGCTTGTTGTATATTTTATTGGTGATAAATCAAGTAGAAACTTATTCCAATTTACGAAGTCGTTAAAACGGAACTACAACTTTTTAAATACGGACGATTTCCTGCTCCTGCTTGCGTTTTTTATACTTAAGTTCATTGTTTCAAGATTTCCACAAATTTCAAAATCTACGTACCTGATTTGAATATTTGCATTCTCATTTAATTCAGATGAAATACGTCTAATTCTCCTATTTTCCATTTCAGTTGAACAAGTAGTTT